AGGGGGGCAAGAGGAGGAGGAAGAGGAGGGGGAGGAAGAGGAAGAGGAGGAAGAGGAGGAGGAAGAGGAGGAGGAGGAGGAGGAGGAGGAGGAGGAGGAGGAGGAGGAGGAGGAGGGGAGGAGGAGGAGGAAGGAGGAACGGGAGGAGGAACGGGAGGAGGAGGAGGAGGAGGAGGAGGAGGAGGAGGAGGAGGAGGAGGAGGAGGAGGAGGAGGAGGAGGAGGAGGAGCGGGAGGAGGAGGGAGCGGGGGTAAGAGTGAGAGTGGGAAAAGGTGAGGGAGAAGACGGACAGAAGGAAAGTCTGGGTATGAAAGGGAGAGGGAGAGGATGAAGGGGAGGGAGAAGGGGAAGGAAGGAAAGGCTGGGTATGAGAGGGAGAAAGAGAAAGACAAAGATAAGGAGAGGGAGAGGGAGAAGGAAAGGGGGAGGGACTGAGGGGAAAATGAAGGAAGGAGGGAGGGGAAGAGGAGAATGAGAGGGAGGGAGGGCGATTGAAAGAAAGAGGAATAAGGAGAATAGAAAAAAAGAAAAGAAATGAAAGAAGGTATAGAATGTGAAAGTTACAGAGAAGGAAAAAGTGAGAATGCGAAGAGAGAATATGAGGAGTAAAGAAGCAAAATGGTGAATATGAGAAGGAATACGAAGAATATGAAGAAAAGAGAAAGAGAAAGAGAAAACGAGGAATAGCAGGTTGAGGAGGAAATGAGGGTGAGGAGTAGTTGGAGATAAATAAATATAAAAATAAGAAGAGGAGGAGAGGAAGATGAAAATCAACAAAATTATTAATGATAAAGCAAATCTAAAAAAAAAGAAAAAAAAAAACGAGACGGTAAAATAAAAACAAAAGAAAAATAAAAAAGTGTATATATATATATATACATATATATATATATATATATATATATATATATATATATATATATATATATACATACACTAAAACAATAATCGTGAGGAAGGAACAAAGAAAAAAAAAATGGAACGGAAGGAGGGAGGGAGAGGGGGTGGGGGTAAAGGGAAGCGGCGAATGAGAGGACTGCAAATTCAAGGCAAGTGGAGGGCCAATTCTGGAAAACAAGAGAATAATGCAAGGAAAGACAAATTCTCCTCCAAGGCAACCTGATATAACGTGGCACTAGAATGGCGAGGATGTGGGTTTGTGTGCGCGCGTGGAAGGATGAAGAAAACTTACGATGATCTTGCAAGTTACCAAACAGTTATGGTAGTGATAGTAACAGTAATAATCATAATAGTGATAATGATGATAACAAAAAAAAATGTAATAATAACAATAACCATACTACAACAACAACAATTACTACTACTACTACTACTAATAATAATAATAATAACAGCATTAGTAGTAACAACAAATACAAAAACAAAATAATAATGATAATACTCATTACAATAATATTAATGACAGTAATAATAATAACAAGAAACAGAAAAAAAAAACAATTATGATAATAATAATCATCTTAAAACCATAAAAAACAAAGCCAGGAAGCCACCTGTCCCAATCATCTCGTCACATAAGCACCGGATCCAAAACAGAACCACCATTGCGTCCCACCAACTAAACACCTTCTCGGCAAACTGATATTTTCATTGCAAGAGAAATATTGAATTCGGAGGCACGTTAGCTTTTCATTTGCCGGCCAGGAGGATGTTGGGCAATAGTGCAGTGAAGATTCGCTGTGGCCTTTTGTTGAAGTAAATGGGTTGGTACCAGTAAGCGGTCCGGAATTACCATCAGCACCATGATCACTGATTGGCAGTAGTGTTGTTGTTGTTATCGTTGTAGGTGGTGGCGATAGTGTTTTTTTATTGCTTTTGTTGTTGATGACGACTGTGGTACATTTGTTATTGTTGTTGATGGCGGCGGTGGTAGTGGTGGTAACAGTAGTGGTAGAATTGATGCTATTGCTGTTGGTGGTGGTAGTAACAGTGGAAGCGGTAGTGATGGTTGTAGTGGCAGTTTTGGTGGTGATGGCAGTAGTGGTGGTAGCAGTGGTGGTGGTGGCGGTGTGACAGTTTTGGTGGTGATGGCAGTGGTGGCGTTGGCGGTATTGGTAATAGTAGTAGTGGTAGTGGCAGCGTAGCTGTTATTGGTGAAGGTGGTGTTCGTTGTAGTGATGTTAGAAGCAGTATTACTGTTTCATCGTTGTTGCTGTTGGCGGTGGTGATGGTGGTGCTAAGGAATAATAATATCAACATTATGAATAAATAATAATATATTTTGGGAACTATCAATAATATTTTTTCATTAACATAAACTATTGTCTTTTTTAACTATCAATAATAAGTTTTTATATATTTCAATCAATTTTCATCGTTATTATCATTCATGCGGCAAAAAACCCGCGTTCTGATGATGACAACAAAGCAAATGATGACAGTAACTACAGCTTGAAGAGAATTCGGACACGAGAACAATGGAAATACAAACTGATATTTCACGAACATGATAAAAGAAAACCACAGAAAAGGTGATGAA